AGCATTGCAGGAAATGTTAAAGGGACTGCTGTAATTAGAAGTAGAAATAAAAGCATTGCAAAGAATGTTAAAGAGACTGATGCAATAATAAGAAGAAATAGAGAAACATAGGCATAAAGAATTAAAATGGCAATAAACAAGGACCTATCAATAATAACCTTAAGGACTTTAAGGGAGAGATCAACAGCAATACAATCATAGTCATGGACTTTAACACCCCACTGACTTCACTGGGTAGATCTTCCAGACAAAAAGTCAACGNATGGACTTTAACACCCCACTGACTTCACTGGATAGATCTTCCAGACAAAAAATCAACAAGGAAACAGTGACCCTACATGACACACTAGATCAGATGGATTTAATTGATATTTATAGAACATTCCACCCCAAAGCTGTAGAGTATACATTCCTCTCAAGTGCACATAGGTCATTCTCAAAGATAGACCACATGTTAGAACACAAACAAGTCTCTACAAGTTCAAGAAGATTGAAATCATATCAAGCATCTCAGATCACAAGGGCATGAAGTTAGAAATCAACTACAGTAAAAACACTCAAAAACATTCAAACACATGGAGGCTAAATAGCATGTTATTAAACAATGAATGGGTTACCAANAGAAATCAACTACAGTAAAAACACTCAAAAACATTCAAACACATGGAAGCTAAATAACATGTTAGTAAACAATGAATGGGTTACCAAAGAGATCAAGAAAGAAATCAAAAACTTCCTGGAAACAAATAAAAACGAACACACAGCCATCCAAAATCTATGGGACACAGCGAAAGCAGTCCTAAGAGGGAAGNAACAATGACCCAAAATCTATGGGACACAGTGAAAGCAGCTCAAAAAGCAAGAAAAATTTTTAGTAAATCATCTAATCCTGCAACTTAAAGAATTAGAAAGTTCCCCTGTGAAGCCATCCAGACCAGGGCTTTTGCTTGCTGGGAGTTTTTTTTATTGTTGCTTCGATTTCATCAATTGTTATTAGCCTACTCAGGTTTTCTGATTCTTCCTGATTCAGTTTTACATGATCTCACTCATATGTGGAATCTAATAAACAAAATANAAAATAGACTGAGGAACAAAATAGATCCAGAGACATAGAGTCATGGAACAGACTGATGAGTCCCAGTGGGAAGGCGGGAGTGGGGGAGTGGGTTGGGAGAGATTAATCAAAGAACTTATATGCATATATGCATAAACCATGGACACAGACAATAGTGTGGTGAAGGCTTGGGTAGGGGCAGATGTGGGGTGGAGGGGATCAATGGGGACAAAAAAAGGGGGATTTCTGCAATACTTTCAACAATAAAGATCAATTTCAAAAAGAAACAAATGCTGTAAGCTTAGTCAGCTTGCCATAATGGAAGCCTCACTAAATTGAATTTTGAGGATTATGTTCTCAGTCACTTAGCATCTCTGAGGGCATGTCCTATTCTGTAAAATTGGAATTAAAATCTTTTTTAGTTTTTTTCCCCAAGATAATTGTAAGGATCAAATGAAATAAAGGGTGAAATCACTTGGATAATCAACTATTCATCTTAGATGACAAAAAAAAACCCAACCCAAAATGCAAGGAGTCCATAGAGTAGTGATGGAAGAGGTATAAAGAGCTACGATTGACAGTGAGGAGACCTTTAGAAAAGAAACTGGCTTTGGGTTAAAGTGGAACTTCTTAAGAAAGGAAGGTAAATGTTCTGCTTCACTGGGTCAGATCAACCTGCCACTCAGCTTGTTTGGGGTAACTGTCAAACTAGCATGTAGCATTTTTAGAGGAAGGAACTGAATTGTGAAGAGATCTGAAACTGCCCTGTGAAGAAAAATGGAATTAACTGGTGATTTTCATATAAAGGAAAGAAGATTCAGCGCATGTGCTATAGCTATATTTAAGTATTTGAGGGGCAGGAAAGCAGAGTAAGTGTGTGGGGATTTTTGTTGTCCTCCCTCCCTC